GGTCCAATGCAGGAAGTTCAAGTGTTTGGGTCTGCAGGTATTTATGGGGCAGGGAAAACTAAAGACCTGAAAGGGGCCCCAGACACAACACCTCCCTCCTCCTTACAAGCCACCCTTCCTCCCCTGCCTAAAGCCAGAGGTACAGGAGGAGCTTTCTATCACTGTTTGCTCTTCTCTGGAGATCCAGAGGCTGGGCCACTCACCTTCTGTTTACTGTAAACACCAGGAGCTGCTGCTCAGACTTCCACTAATCCTGTCCCACCTCCCAAGATTCTGCCACCCTCACCCTCCCTGGCTCCCTCAGTTCCTCTTCTTGACTGACCCTGGAGGCTACAATCCATCCCCAGAACCACTGATAGAGAAAGCACAGAGACAGGACTTTGCTTTTGTGTCTGAACTGGCACAAGTGGCAGTGCCTGCCCTAGACAATCTTCATTCCCTCCCCTCTTCCCCCTTGACCTCTTCCACCCTTCCGTATTAGTCAGAATTTAGTTACAAGTGACAGATACTCATGCAAACTAGCACTGAGGAAAAAACACTAAAAGGACTAAACAAAAAACTAGTGCTTCATAAAATGAGGAAGTACCTATAGGTCCAGCTGGATTGGGGCACTCAAATGATACACTGTCAAGTCATGTTTTCTTAATGTTGTAGTCATTCTTTTCCACCAGATTGCTTCTGATAATCCACAACTCCAACTTCATACTCTCTTGGTCAAGTTAACCTGTAGAAAAAAAAGAAATTCCATTTGAGCTACTGGAAAGTATAAGATCCACAGCACTTTCCCTTTTCTCTCCTCTTCTTCAGTCCCTCTTCATATCTTTTATTCTGAGACAAAATTAGCAAGGTTACTATCTTCTGTACTCAAAGATCTTACAATCTCTTGGAGAAGACAATGGAGCTATACCAATGACTATTGCATTTTATTATCCTGTCCATGGCCAGTGTGCCCAGATTCTGCACACTTTCATTGGATATCTGGTACATGCTGGATCTGCACTACTCATTTCTATTTCTGTAACCTGAGCTGGCCCTTGTGTGTGTAGTGCCCACAGCAGGAAATGCTGTTAGGGTACAGTTCCGGTTGGGGGATTCAGCTTGGGCCACTCAGGCCCACCCAGTAGTGTCCTGAGCAGGAAGCAGGGGAACTAGGAAGCCCCAGGGAAAATCAGAGACTCTGCTTTCTCATCAAGGGATCCCAGAGCTACAGGTAAGAGGCAGTGTCAAAGGAAGTCATAAATCATGAGCAAATTTGGGCATAAGCAAAAATGGCTGGGACTTAGGTTTAACTGCATCTGTATGATATACAACTGCTAAAATCAAGATCTTCTTTCATGTGTAGACCACAGAGGCCTTCAGAGAGACCCACAGTCCCCCAACATTGTAGGCAACAGGTTGTATGTGATGGGTACAACTATAGGGGAGATAATTACTGGCTTCCATCAAATTCTCAAAAAAAGTACTGATACCTTCAGAATAGATCCAGGATCTGAAAGCAATGTCCCAATGCTGTCACCATACCAGTCCAAGCCACCTGCTTTGGTTCCAGTCCTATCTTTTACCATAACTTCAGGTCTCAATCTATATGCCTCATCTGAATCCAGACCTCCCCCTATACCCCTCACCCTGGCCTGGTTCCAAATTTGGTTCTACCCACTAGCCATCATTCTGAGCTTCAGTTTCCTCATCCATAAAATGGCCTGGTAGTTAATCAGTGCACATTTAAGAAGTGCACGCAGTGGTGACCTCCTTCATGAATCTTACATCATCCTCATAATGAGCCTGAGGGGTGGGTCCTGTTAGTTTCACAGCTAAGGACTGACGGAAAGCTAAATATCTTAAGACACAGAGAAGGAAAAGCCAATGAAGTACCCAAGGGACAATATTTAAGGAGGCTTCACTCTCGGACGCTGACCCTGTACTTTTACAACCCTGACAGTGGGAGCTTCCTTAAATGTTTCACCCTTGGTACCACCTTGCCTCACACCCCTAGCAGCACCCCCACACCTGTGGAGCCAGCCAGCACTAGCTGTACTTCACATTGCAGTCCATGCTCTGAATTCCTAGAGATGCTGCAAAGATTCAAGATTTTGCATGTATGAAAAAGCCAGTTCACCAATTGGCAAAGAACAGTGCTAAGTAAAGTGGAGCTAAAATCCTAGCTTTCTCCTTTATCTCATTGAACCCCTGTCTTATGAACGGAATTTCAGAGTCCTGTAGCCCAGAGGGACCTCAGGAGGATGTTTTGTGGGACATCTTCGCTGCCCTCTCCTCCTTGACCTTAGGGCATTGAGTAGTTAGGGATCAACAGGGATACCTCTCTGAGTGATTGAGCCAGGTCTTTGACTGACAGCATTTCTTTTTTTTTTTGGTACCAGGGATTGAACTCGGGTCCTTGCGCTTCCAAGGCAGGCCATCGAACTGTTGAGCTAAATCCCTGGCGACTGACAGCACTTCTATTAAACCAGTTCACCTGGCTCCAAGCAATACAAACAGTCCCTTCAGGAGCAAGCAATTAGGCAGAATTTCAGTTTTTTGGGGGGCCCAAATTTTTATTACCTTATATTTAAAACATTTATTACCCTGCTAGTTTCCGGCAGCAGTGCCCAAACATAGAGATATGAGAAACAGAACTGCTGAGTATCCTTAAATTCTTGGCTGAGGGAAGCTTCCGCCTTCCCTACACTGCTCTGCAGGGTGGGAGCCCCCAGGGCACCCTGTCCAGGAAATTAGACCTGTCAGCACCTCTCTACTTGGCTAGACTGGATAACCCCAGAAAGTTAAGAGCTGGGACCAAAATAGCAAGCCCTACTGTGTTCTCTGGAGGCCAAGATTCCAGAGCCCAGGGATTCAGCAGAGAAAGGAGAATTACAGCATACTGAAGGTGTATGGGCCAGGCCCTTTGGGACATTATTTTACTTATGCTTCACAGCATAGCCATTTTGTGTATGAGAAAACTAAGACTCTGAAGTTACCTTATTCCAAGTTCACACCACTGAAAGTGGCAGAACTAGAACTTGACCTAAGTCCACTTAGTACAATTTATAGGCCTTGCAACCTTGCTTTGTGTTTCTGGCCTTCAGCTTCCATTTCCATACAAGATGAATGTTATTAGTCCTTACTCCATAGAGGTGCTATGAAGCTTAAGTAAGAAACCCCATGAGCACTTGGCATGACACCAGGCATGCACCAAATATTTGTTGAGAGAACAAGTAACAAAATGAATGGAGGTATTGCAGTTCCAGCCCATTTATAGCCCTGTCCTTCCTCTATAACTTGCAGAACTCACACTGAGGCCAGAGCATGCAAACTTTCCCAGCTGATAATCTTCGTGGTATCTGCCTGAAAAAAGGGTTCCATTAAAGGGTTTCTTTGTGAAATATTCTTTGGTCAATGGCTTAGGCATCTGAGAGAGCTCCCAGGAGCTTCCCAGCTGAATGAGGAGCCCTGCTTGACACTGCTCTCAAAATACCCCCTTTGTTACATGTGCCTATTCCTCAGCCCTGTGAAAATATGCCCCAACCATACAGGAGTCCTAAAACTAGCTTCTGCTCAGCATTTCCTTGAGCACAGGGGCCATCTCTGCTTGTCTTCAGTTTGCTGTACAGTGGCTGGCCTCTGAGAGATGCTCAATAAATATTTGTAAGGGAAACCAAAAAAGGAGTGGAACATAAATATGCAAATCTCACTAGCTGTTTAGTGGGCAAGCAATTATTGAGGCTTCATTAGGCACCTGGATACCCAGCTATAACCTATATGTAGCCCTGGTATCTATATCCAGGAAAGTGTCATCTACTGGCCTGGGGTTTTGCTAAACTACGACTTCCCTGGAACTATTTGACTGGTTCTCATTGAATGACACTTGGGAAGGAAACTAGGAAGACAACTACACCTTTTATGGGTCTGTTGTTTCAGGTTTCCTCTTCCTTGTTCTGTGATGCACACACATCCTTGCTGCTGCTCTCAGAGAACACAGTGAACCTGTCTTTTTCAAAATGAAGATCATATCATGCAAGGAGATTCTATCTGGATTAGCAGGAAGTGCCCTTGAGGGTCTATTCAGGGCCAACATAATGTCTTAGGGCTGGCTGCCTGTCTTTGTCTACTATAAATCCAGGCTCTGCAGAAGCAAGGTTCTCACTGCCAACTCCCAAGATCTCACCATCTTTGAGTCATGCAGACTCCTCTCCCCAGCACCGAGCAAGCCCAGGGCTGACTGCTAATCACTTCCAAAGGGTGACATCAAAAGAGATGTCCATAGAAAATAGACAGAGGTGTTAGGCAAGCCTGGATACTAAGCACAAGTATGTGGTTTTGTAGAGCAGGGATCCACCTGAATGGTTAAAACCCTGAACTCTAGAGTTAGAAAGACCAGGTTTCAAAATGTGGCTCCACCACAAACCAACCAGAAGACTTGAGATAAGTTACTTAGTGTCTCAAAACTTCAGTCTCCAGAGTGTGTACAATGAAGATACTCATCATGATAAAATTTAAGCATAAATGAGCCAACTCCTTTCATTACCTGGAACTTGGAAATACAGATGCTGGTGGATATGACTGTATCCTGCATATGCATTTTCTGGTAATCTGACTTGCTTTCTAGAAGGTCAGGAACCCAGGTGACCAGCACAGTGCCTGGCCCTATGGTTATCAGTGGCTAACTGAATGCATATCATATTAGACAGAATGGAAATTAAAGCATTCAATTGTCATTTTATAGTGTTGGTTTATATTCCTATCTCCCTAACTAGACTGAGATCCTAGAGAGTCCAGATGAACCTTATTATTTTATGTATTCCTAGTCCCTTGCATGACCTCAACTTCTCTGAGTCTCAGTTTTTTCATCTACAACATAGGAACAGAAACACTAGTTGGCAGGGTTTTGTGAAGCCAATGTATGTAACACACATTACAGGGTGCCTCACAGTTCTAGGAGCCCTGTGATGACAACTGAAAGTTCCATCACACTCACAGGGTGTGGCCATCTGAACTGATTAGTGGATAAATGCTCACCTTCTATCAAATGCTGATCTCCTGAGCAACAGGACTTGCGCTGGCTGCTTTAACTCAAGGTACAAAGTGCCTAAGTAACTTGCCCACGATCAGACAGGTACTAAGGGAGAGACCTGAGACTTGAGCCAAACATCTAGCACTACAGCTTCCATGACTGAACTTCACTGTTCAGCTTCCTTAAAGTGGCGTTATGGTTTAGATCTAAAAAGTTCACCCAAAGTCCCATGTATTGAGAGGGGGAGCTTTCAGAAGGTGGTGGGATCATGAGAGCTCCAACTTCATCAGTGGATTAAACCATTCACAAGTCCATAATTTGATGGCATTATTGGGAGGGTAATAGAAACTTAGGAGGTAGGGTTTAAGTGAAGGGAGTGGGTCATTGGGGGAGGCCTTGGGACCTATATTTTGCTCCCAGGCATTTCCTCTCTTCCCTTCCTTTCCCTTCCCTTCCCTTCCCTTCCTTTCTCTTTTCTTTTCTCTATCTTTCCTCTTCCCTTCCTCTTCTTCCTCCTCACCTGATCCTTCTCCCTCCATTCCTCCCTCCCTCTCTTCCCTCTTCTTCTTGGCTGCCATGAGGTGAACAACTTTCCCTTTGTTTGCTACACCTTTCTACCATGATGTTTCCACCCCACCACCGGTCCAGAAACAAAGGAGCCAGCTGATCAGGGACTGAAGCCATAAGCCAAAATGATCCTTTCCTCCTTTAAGTTGTTTTTGTCAGTGACAGAAAGCTGACCAATAGAGGTGGAGTTTATTATACTCAGCACTATTGACATTTGGGGCCAGATTGTTCTTCGTTTTATTCTGGGAGTCTGTCCTGTGCATGGCAAGATGTTTAGCATTATCCCTGCCTCTACCTACTGGATGCTGGTAGCACCTTCCCCCAGGTTATAACAATCAAAAGTGTCTCTAGACTTGACAAAGGCCCCTGGGATTTAGAACCCTCAGTAGAAAACAGCTCTAAAGTCCCTCTCCCAACCCCTGAGCAGCACTTTTTGCCACCAGCACCCTGAGGTCATCACCTCCTGGGACAAAAGAACCTCCATAGATAAGAAGTTTGAGCCCTGCGTGAGCTTCTCTGGCTTGTGTACCACCTCGTGAGCCGAGCTGCTCTCACAGACTCCCTTCTCCCCTCAGCCAGGGTCCAAGCACCTGCCCAGTTACCCAGCTCAGAAATGAAGGCATCACTTGTGCTTCCTTTTCTTCCTCTCCAGTCCCATCTCACCTCTCACCCAATCCTACTGGCACCTCCTCCTGAGCGCTGCTCAGATGCACTCCCTCCATTCATTAATGCCCTCCACACCTCTTCAGCTGCCCCAGTCCAGGCAGCCAGACCTAACCTCTGGATCAGCCTCACAGCCAGTCCCAGTCTCCAGTCTTATCTTCGCAGTACAGCACGATCTTTCCAAAATGTGAATCTGGTTCATCCCTGCTTTGGGTGTTTTCTGAGAGGGTTCTCTACTCTAGAAAGAGATGGAGTGATGGCAGGGCTCAGTTAAACTCAAAGTTCTGAGTGAGATATGAATGGGCCTCCATCTACACCCTTAGCTCCCTGCCCTGCAATGATGGGCTGACCTTTTGGTGTCCTTCAGTACTCAGCAAGCTCTGCATAAGCAGAGAAATCTCAGTTCCTGGATTCTCGATGTTTGGCACAGGACATCCACTTAGCGTGTGCTGGTTGGATGGACAGAGGAATGGGTGGATGGACAGGCAGGTGTAGTCTTTAAGCTCAGAAAGACAGCCTGAGTCCACCTCAGACTCCTAACGTGTTTGTGGGGTGACCATCTTCTGCCCTCCGATGGTTTCTCCGTTGTAAGAGCAAGATGAGTATTCTTCCTATAGGGACATTTTAGATCCGGAGAAGGGGATGTGCAAACTGGCACAGGACACAGACAAGATGGAGTGGATTACTGGTTACATGTCTGAGAGGTCACTTCTAATGAGGGGGACTACTTACAGGACAGAGAGTTACTGTTCAGAAAGCCTGGCCCTAGAGATTAAGAACATTTGATGGCCTTTATTTGTAGAAGAATGAACAACAATCATAACTGTGTTTATTTGACAGGTGCAATCTCACCTGTCCAAGGGGTTTTCTTTCCAGGGTGAGGAACAGGTTTGTTCTAGCAGAAAGGCTGCTGGGACCAGCATGGCCATGCCTATGTTAGAGCACACAAAGTACCCAGCTCCCTTTCTCTTCTGAAGCACCCTGACCCTCCCCTACCTGGGCCTGACTCCCAGGAAGGGGGCCAGCCAGCCAGAACCTGGGGCTGGAGATAGTGACAGCTGCACCTGCCCAGAGCCAACAAGATTTGTTCCCCTGGCTTTTCCACATCAGTGATTCCAAGATCAGATCTGATTGCCCATGCTCCTTCTGAGGCTTGCCAGGGGCAGAGCAGGGGCTCAGGGTAACTTTATATCTGAGTTACCTGCAGAGAGGCACTCCAGGAGGTGGCAGATAGATATTACTCCCCTTTATCTCCCTTCCCACCCACATACACAAACCAAGAAAGAAACTGCTAGGAGCAAAGGGGCCAGACAGAGACAGGCTAAATAAAGGGTCATCCGAGGCTAGGCACAAAAGAGGAACAATCAATGCCTGCTTGGTCTTGGGCCAGTGAGATGCTAGCCAAATGAAAATTAAGGCTCCAGCTCACAGGATCTGGAGTCAGAGCCCAGATTCTTTAAGTCAGGATAATTTAATAATGGTTTCTAAGAAGGCAGCTCTAGAGTCACGCAGAACAGAATTCCAACCCAGTTTCCTCTCTACCATCTGTGCAACCTTGGGAAAATCCCTTTACTTCTCTAAGTCTCAGCTTCCCAATCTGTAAAATGGAGATTGTTGTGAGGATACGTCAGATAATAGATCAGGTGCTGGCAGATTATGGATGCCTAGTCTAACTTGTCTTTGCAGTAAGAGATCCTGACAAGGTGTAGGGAACAGGATGAAGTGTCAATGTAAAAGGAGGGGAAAGTGAGGTGCTTGGTGAAGAAACTATATCAGGATTTTCCCTGAGCTTCATTATTCCACGTTCCACATGACAGACAGCTATCTGTCAGTAGGGCAACAGGCGCTTCTTTAACAGTTATGACAGGTGCCATTGATTACTCAACAAACAACCCAGAGGATTTCTTCCTTGTAGAGAGAGCCCATTTCCCATCATAGAGCCTGAAAACAGTGGACATAGTCTTTCTCGGGCTTCCTTGTACATGGGTATGTAAGCCATTCATGGAAGCAAACATCCCTCTTTGGGTGAACATTGCTTTTGATGTTTGTGATGCTGTGAGCTGCAGCTACCGTGTTGCAGCCATAAGGGCTGAGCCAAAATACAAAAGATCAGAAAGATGGAAGGAACATTCTGGAACTTTCCTGGTTCTGGAGTTCTTGCAATGAGGGAGAATAAAGGAACTCATTGCTTATGTCACTTCTAGTCAGGCCTTTTATTATTTGAAGCAAAAACACTGCCTTAGTGTCAGCCTTTTGTGTTCAAGGCAGACATCTTAATCTGTTGTGCATCTGGGATACTATTGCATAGCACACATTTTCCAAGGCTTCTACTGCCTTTGTCCAGCTGGGGTGGGAAATATAGTCCCTATGTCACCAAAGGCTGCTAGATTAGAGATCAAACCACATCCCAGCACCCCAGACCTCCAGAAACAATCTGGAAAGTTACTTCCCTATCTGGCCTGGTCAGGCATCACCCTACATGTTTATTATTTCTATTGACAAGTAGACTTCAGTGACAGCAAATCAGCCAGCCCTAGAGAAGGTATAAAGATGTGGAGCTATAAATACATGTCTCTATTTATGTACTTAAGAAACACTTATCTAAAACTTTGATATCCCCCAAATTTTTAAAATGAAATTTGGTATTTGCTTTTGCAGTCCTTTCAAACTCCAATATTTCAAAGTAGTCTCTGAAAACTAAAATGTTGGGAACCACTATATTGTGCAAGCTGCTAATCTTTCTATGCCTCAGTTTCTTTCTCTGGGAGAAGGTAATATAGTTCTTCAAGTGGCGGGGCTGGTTCTAAGTATCCATGAGCAGCCATGGTTTCCAGACCCCTTGGAAAGCAGAAATGTGCTTGCTTTGGACAGAGGTCTAGATGGGGGGATGGCTTCAACATTAAAGTCACATGCTCTGGTCTCTAGCAGACCTGATTTACAATATGGGAAGGCAAATAAAGTGTAAACCTGTACAAATGATTTTACTTCTGTCTTGGCTACTTGTTGATGAAACAAAATACCTGACACCCAAAGCTATAGGAGGAAAGGTTTATTTAGCTCTCAGTTTGTAGAGGTTTCAGCCCGTAAATGGCTGGCTCCAAAGCAGGGTGGGATGGCCAACGGGCATCACAGAGGAGAAACAGTTCATGGTGGGCAGAAGATAGTAAAGCAACGAGGGACAAAACAAGCTTCTTTCTGTCCCTTGTATTGTATCCAGGCTACCAGGATCAGGGTGGTGCCAAACCAGTCAGTGGGCTAATCCAGCAATCATCCACCCTTAATCCTAGCATTGCACTGTGAATCACACACACACACTCTAGATCCAGCCACCTCTGGAAAAGCCCCACCTCTGACTGCATGAGGCTTTGGGGGACACCTATAACAACTTCTATGGGCCTCAGTGTCCACGCCAATTAATTGGGAACACTTGGTACTTATCACCTAGGGTGCTATCAGGACCTTGCACTGACTGTGGAAGGTCTTAGCACAAGAAGATGTTCAACAAATATTCTCTATTTTATTGCTAGTTGTGTTCTCACTCCTATTAGATCTCTGGGGTTCATGAAACATTTTCATTTTTTTGGTACCAGATATCCAACTCGGTTCTTTGTGCTTGCGAGGCAGGTGGCGGAACCACTAGGCTAAATCCCGGGCCTGAAACACTTTCTATGAAGGACTCAGAAAACTCTCCTAGCAAAATTCATTTTAACACAAGAATTGAACACATAGATACCCTCACATAGAGGAGGAGGGCACTCTCCATAAACAAATAAACTATGGCAGAGTCAGGCTGTCAGAGCAGAGGTCCCTGCAAACAACATCCTGATCTCAGCC